AAAAACAAACCCCTCTGCAGTGCCATCTAGACAGTGGAGAAAACAGTGGTCGTATCTGCGGCACTTTACTAAGAAAACAAAAATGTGGTCCTTGGTGACCTGAACCACATCCCCGCGGCCTGGCAAAGTCTGCAGTGCTCTGCTTTGGAGAAGTGCTCTTCTGGGTTCCGCTCCCGGCTATCTAGGGGATGTCTTTTCCTCACCCAGAGCCTGTGTTGGTAGTTAGAAAGAGCAGCAGTGACTCGGGACTGGACGTTGAAAGAATCCAGCTTGTGCTTTAGATACGTTTCTTACAGGCAAGTCCCTGAGAAGCCAGTGCTTGTATTTATGAAGCTGGAGTCCACACAGTTCTGACTACAGCAGACTCTACTCGTGAGGGGAGAGGAAGACATACTAGGCCTGCACATTTTTTTGTTTAAGAAAATATTGTTATTTTCCAAATGTAACTATAGAATGTAAATTATTTATTTATTATTTTTTGCTTTTGGATTTTATTTCAGATTAACGTGTGGGTACAAATGATTAGGTTACAACGTTTGCATTTGTGAGGTAGAGTCCCTGCTGTAGTTGTGTCCTGCACCCAGGAGGGGCGCCACACACCCTTACATCGTGCCCGTTAGGTGGGGGCTCACCAGTCCCCTCCGTCCTCCCCTCCTGTCTCCTCCCCCGATTTGGATTGGACTGACTTCTCTCTCATACAGGTTCATGTTAGTACTGAGTACATTGGATACTTGCTTTATCATTTTTGTGACACTTTACTAAGAAGAATGTGTTTTACCTCAATCCAGGTTAGTAGAAAAGACATAAAGTCTCCACTTCTTAAGGCCGGATAGCACCCCATGGAATAGATATTATATATCCATCTATCTCACAGTTTGTTAGCCCATTCCTGGGTTGGTGAGCGCTTGGAGTGCAGATTGTTTATAACAACAATCTTGCTCAAAAAAGATCAAATCATCTCTATAGTATTTTATAAATCTCACATAGGAATTAAGATCTCACGTGTACTAGCAATGAACATGAGGTTTGCGAATGGCTGGTGGAGGCAGGAGAAAGGCCCGTGGGCCTTGCCACCAGTAGACCCTGCCTTCTGGGCTCAGTTTCCTCACCTGAGCGTGGCTGGATCAGGTCGCTTTCCACCGAGCATGAAGATTCTGCATCCCTTGCAGGGGGGGCACCTGGCTGCCACTTCCTAACAGTACTGTAGTCTGTTACTGTGCAGCTTTGTTAGATGACAGATTTATTTAAAAGAGAAAACTATGAAGACAGGAAGTGATAATGCTTTATTCTTCTCTTTAAACCTCCATCTAAATAATTATGCTTTTTGGCTTAGAACATAACCCTGTACTTTAAAATAATTTTCTGGGAGGGTCGCTTGAGGCCAGGAGTTTGAGCCCTGCCTAGTTGACATAGTAAGACATCATTTCCATAAAACATTAGAAATTGGCTGTGAGTGGTGGTGAGCACCTGCATTCCCAGCTACTCTGGAGCCTGAGGCAGGAGGATGCGTGAGCCCAGCAGTTTAAGGTTGCCCTGAGCTTTAGTGACAACACTGCACGCTAGTGCAGTGAGCAAGAGCAAGACCCTGTCTCAAAAAGAAAGTAAAATTTAAAGATTTTTAAAATAAAAATAAACAGCTTTCTGATAAAATGGTTTTATCACAAATACATTTTCTTTATTGATAGAACACTAATTACTAGATATAAAGTAGCAAAATTAACTCCTAAAATTTTGGTGGTCATAATATTCATTTTGTGGGCTGTTTTTACCACACTTTCAATCCTGGACTGGCACAGGAAATTCTGGTTCATTTCCCATAGCCCATCTCCACGGGTGACTCATTTCATTACTATGTTCAGCAGAAACATACCTGGAAGGGGAAGTTGCCTACACTGTGAACCTGTAGATAGAAATCTGAGTGCTCTCGAGTTCTGGATGGGGCGTGCACAGGAAGGAGATGATTGGAACCTGCTGCCAGTCCACAGAGTTAAGCGCCGGCTCTATTATGATGTTTCAACACAGTTAAACACAGGTGACTCGAGACATTTTACTGGCCTGCGAGAATTTTTGGTCACTCATGCTGTCTTCAGCAGCCTTTCTTTCCCATGTTCCTGCCTTCGGGACAGAACCTCAGTAGCCCTGAGCATTCCTAACTTTGGAGAAGAGCCCAACCCCGAAAGTAGGCTGCACATTTAGAGGCCAGTGTGCTCTCTAGGGCTGTTTTCAGACTGAACCCACAAATGGGCTGGCTTCCCTGAGCCCTGCTCTGAGGGCCGGGGGTCAGCCCAGCACCAGGGCACAGACCTCACAGCATGTGGGGGCCTTGACGTGCACAGGAGCCCTACGAAGGTCAGTGTCACTGTCTCCACTGTGCAGATGAGCTCCTGGAGGCCCTGCGAGGAGCACGTGCAGCACACAGTGTCACGTGGGGCCGGGTTGAAGGCTGCCTTCCTGCGCTTCATCCCTGGACCCTGCTCTGGGAAGTGCATGGGAGGCAGTGGCAGCTTCTTGCTTCCCTGTGTGAATAAGTTTGGCCATTTTTGTTTTAATCTTGTTAGGGGAAGATGACTTAGAAATTGAGTGGGGAGATGAACAGATGTCTTCAAAAAGGTGAGACGTGCTCCATAACCACCTGATGCCAAAGAGAAAACTTAGACGCAAATAAATTGGAGACAACCCAGAGATTTAGAAGGTGGAGAATTAATAATCCTGTAAATCATGTGTTTGTTAGGAAGGTAAAAAGTGTCATAAGGGGTGGACCTCTGTCCTTCCCCAGTGGGGCCTTTCCTGTCGTCATAGAAGCAGCAGGACGGTCAGGTGGTCTTGTCCTCTTCTTGTTCCTCAATTCAGTGACTGGTACCTTTTCCAGATTCTTCAGGATGACAGGTAATGAGTTACTTAAAGACACTGGGGAGAAAATCATGAAAATAATAGTCTTCCCTCTGGTTTCTCCTTGGACCAGCTCTCCCAGCTCTTCACATGGAGCTCCTGTCCCCCTATTTTCAGACCCCTCTCCATAGGGGTGGGTTGCTAAGCACCAGAACTCACTGGGTTATTGCACAGCACTAACGCAGGCTGGTTATGCTGAATCACAGCCCATGAGTGTAACAAAGTACATAAATTGAGAGGAGAATATAACTTTTCTATTTCCAAATATTCATTAAAACAAGATTGCCTTCCATTCCTGAAACCTGGAATTCTGGGCAGAGGCCAGTTGTACGTTTGAGATTCATGCATCCCAGTGCGTCTGATCGCTTTCACTGGTTTTTGCTCCCCTTTGAGAATACTTTTATCTCTATGATAAAGAAAATGATTCATAGGATTTATCCAGAAGAAACAATATTTTTTTATGTAATTAGTGATAAGTGGCAAATTTGATTTGCTGAAGTTTAGGAAGGTGTGTCAGATTTAAATATTCACTGATTTGGTGTGGGATCACAAAGGTGCTACTTTCTGTTACTGATATATGGAGCTCCAAATCTTTCTTCTCTAACAAAAGCCTTCCCTACATAAAATGCATAAAGAAAACAGCAGAGCCGATATCTCAGCCCTCAGTCAGTTGGTCTTTTCTGTTAGTCAATATATCTCATTACTTGGGATCATTAATAAACTTTATTCTTCTTACTCTGATTTTCTAGTCATGGAAACAAAGAACAGATGTAAAAACAGTATGCACGTAACCAAACCCAATCTGAGGGGGTGAATAAATTTAAGAATCTTTTTGTTATTACCTGTATCTTGCAATACATGTGATAGCAATTACATAGAATGGTGAACAGAAATTCACCAAATTCCTTGACTGTTAAACAGCACACATTCCAAAAGAAATAAAGAGGTTTTAACATGGTCTTTTTAAAGAGTTTCCTAAATACCCCTTTGAGATTGAGCATAACACTTACTCCCACCTTATTTCTGCCAGCTCACTAAGTTTCCTGAGGCCAAGGGATGAGGGATGAGGTGACAGCCGGTCACATGCTGTGCTGTGAGTGTCACAGTCGTGACCGTGCAGCTCCAGCCTGCCTGGCACGGCATTTGCTCAGGGCCCACTGTTACCCATCTCTCAATCCTGTGGAGACGCCCAGATGAACCATAGCTCATCAGAGTTACTTTCCTAACCTTTACTATAGAAACCTGTCGCTTCCTGATAAAGCATCTCCAGTATCAGATCCCAAATCCTGATTCAGCTTCACCACGTACCTACTATACTGAACCCCAGTGATCACAGCACTCTGGCCTGCTTCCCCAGAAGCCTGGGACATTCTTCTGGGTTGCCTGAGTATCAGTGAGAAAATGAAAAATTTAAAAGCAACTGCAGTGAACATCTGTTTAAGAGTTTGGCAACAAGTAAAGTTGATGAACTCTTAGAAAGCCTAGTGTTAAGATGAATACAATTATTAGGCTATACTTAATAAAATCAATGAAGAAAATAAGTCATTCTTAGGCCAAGCGCGGTGGCTCACACCTGTAATCCTAGCACTGAGGGAGGTAGAGACAGGTGGATTGCTTGAGCTTAGGAGTTTGAGACCAGCCTGAGCAAGAATGAGATGCCTTCTTGAAAAATAGTGAGGTATTGTTGTGGGGCCAGTAGTCACAGCTACTGGGGAGGCTGAGGCAAGAGGATTGCTAGAGCCCAAGATTTTGAGGTTGCTGTTAAGTTATGACACCACAGCAGTCATAAAAGAGTCATTCTTAAAAGTCAGATATAATAAAAAATTAATATTTTAAAGGTATATTTAGAATATTTGCTAGTTTATTTTAAGACTCATTAACGAAATTAGTAGCTCATAGGAAATATCACGAGGGCCTCTGTGTTTAGCACAGTCTGTTTTCTTTATGTCAACATTTCAACCCAGCTGCAAAAGGGACAGGAGATTCTATGACGTGATGAACAGAGTTTGACTTGTGGTTAACTTGCTGTCGGTGCTGTTGTAACTAAACTTCAAGTTCTAGCCACTTCTTTCTTCTCTTTCCCTTTTTGTCTGTTTTTATTGTCTTTGCAGAAGACCATCAAATGAACTGTCACAACACGCGGATGATGCAGGACCCAGAAAAGGACGACAACAACAACGAGGAGTATGACAACTACGACGAGCTGGTGGCCAAGTCCTTGCTGAACCTCGGCAAGATCGCCGAGGACGCCGCCTACCGGGCCAGGACGGAGTCGGAAATGAACAGCAACACCTCCAACAGCCTGGAGGACGAGAGCGACAAGAACGAAAACCTGGGTCGGAAGAGCGAGCTGAGTTTAGACTTGGACAGCGACGTGGTCCGGGAGACGGTGGACTCCCTGAAGCTGCTGGCGCAAGGACATGGCGTCGTGCTCTCAGAAAACATTGGTGACAGGGGTTACGCAGACAGCATGTCGCAGCCGGACAGCAGAAGTGTCAACTACGTCCTGCTGGGGAAGCCTGCCAACAATGGGCTGTCCGACAAGGCGGTGGAGGAGAGTGACGAGGAGGTGTGCCTCAGCAGCCTGGAGTGCCTGCGCAACCAGTGCTTCGACCTGGCCCGCAAGCTCAGCGAGACCAGCCCGCAGGACAGGGCCCAGCAGCAGGGCCTGGCCCTGCGCCCACACGGCAGGCAGGAGGACGACTTCCCAGGGAGGACGCCAGACAGGAACTACTCGGACATGATCAACCTCATGAGGCTGGAGGAGCAGCTGAGCCCCCGGCCGAGAGTGTTCTCCAGCTGCGCCAAGGAGGACGGGGCCCGCGAGCGGGACGATGATACCACCTCCATCAACTCGGACCGGTCAGAGGAGGTGTTCGACATGACCAAGGGGAACTTGACCCTGCTGGAGAAAGCGATTGCTTTGGAGACAGAGCGTGCCAAGGCCATGAGGGAGAAGATGGCCCTGGAGGCAGGCAGGAGGGACAGCATGCGGTCGTACGAGGACCAGTCTCCCAGGCCGCTTCCCGGGGAGGACAGGAAGCCCAAGTCCACAGACAGCCACGCCAAAAAGCCATACTATGGTAAAGGTAATATTTCTACCTCACGTAAGTGCTGGAGAGAACAGGAGCTAGAGGAGGGTGTCAGTGGAGCACAGAAAACCAATTGCACTAAACTGTTTCTCCACCGCAGTGTTAGGGGGGGTTCCAGAATTTCCTCGTGTGGTTATGTCTCTGAAGAGCAAATAAAATCCTTGTCTGAGAAACACACAAAGCAGCTCAGCGTCATATGAGTAGAGTGGAGGAATAATCGGAACGCACTCCTTGGGAAGGTAGGATGGAAGCACAGACACAGCACTAGAACCTCCAGGATGAGCCTGTGCTGGTGCAGATGGACGCAAGTGGAGTGGCCAGGGTCTGTGTGACGAGTAGTCAGTTTTGGAGGGAGCTCATGTTTTATAAATTGGATTAGGTGGGTAGCATCCTGATTTATAAAATTATCCTGAAATGGCAGTTATTGATGCAACCACACCCACAGAGAACAGCCCAGATAGAGACTGAGCAGTAATGAGGGCAGGAACCAAAGTGGGCAGTGACGGCACGTTGACAATCTCAGGCAGTGAGGCGCTGGGCACCGCTGCTGTGCAAGGTGTGGCATGGCCTCAGCTGAGAGCAGCAGCGAGTTCTTCAGCACATTCACCCCCTCTCCCGGATTCCATTACACTGGGAAACAGTTTATGGTGCTTTTCTGAAATATAATTTATTATAAAACACTCAAAACTATCCCTATGATAGTTTTAGCTGAATTTTACTTTATGAGATATGTGGGCACATATTTGCACGTATTGTTCTATTTAACTATATATACATATATACTATGCAATGTAAGTATATCATGTATATATGCACACACATCTTTATGCCCCCGACCTGAGTGATTTGAGCTCATGTTTGCCTTGACAACAGCGTCCACTTCCGGGATAAAGTCGGTGGTAACACAGCCTCACACAGAACCCTGGCCCTATGTGTGTCGTGATTACAGGTCTCTTTTAAAACCAAGTAAGAAGAAATTTTAACAATGAAATTGGGGTTTCCTTAAATGCTTCTGTTAAGTACCCAAAATACTCTTTTCCTGTTTTCTTTTCTTATTTTATTCTATTTATTATGAATACTGAGTTTCTTCACAGTGAATCTAATAATGAGGTCCAGGAATTTGGTTTGAAAATCAGTTGCTCTCTAAACTTCAAACTGTTGGAAAAACTGCATTTTTCTGTCATGACATAGGTGTGTACTCTCCTCTCGACATGCACAGCCACCCTCTGTGCAGGCCAGGTGGCTCTGCAACCAAGTCCAAACTGGACAGAACCTCAGCCAGAGGCTCTGGAGGTGCTCAGCGTGACCAGTGCCAGGCCCTGGTGGCCTTGCTCACGAGGTGAAGGCCAGACCACCACAAGCAGTTGTTATGTGATGAAGCTGATTTGTGAAGGAAATAGGGTCTTCAGCTCAGGAAAACTGCAGGCTTGCTGTAGGCATTTTAAATACTGTGAATGCTAGCATGGAAGTTCACGAGTGCAGACGAGATGTGCTCAAATCATCTATTAGAAATTGTTACTGTCTATTTTAGAATCATAAAGGAACCAAACACTTTTTAGGAATAAATAGTGTTTCTCATGTAATTGCTCAGATGGACAAATGCAGAGTGTCCCCAAAGTCACCTCTAAAGTCACCATGCATAGGAACAATAGGAAATTGTTGCCAGATGTACCTCATTTACACAATATTCATTGTGAGGCTTTGCAAAGAAGTTGTCAACATGTAGAGAATATTTTGTAAATATTTTGTAAAATTTTGTAATTAATATTTTATAAATAAAGGTACATTTAGCTACGATTTTCCATCTTCCATATGTATGGCAGTTTTAGCAGTGACTTTGGGGACACGCTCTCTATCTCAGACGTGTTTTAGACTCTTAAGTGGTGGGTTTAGAGCGCAGCTCTGGCTGGCAGGGTAGTGGTGTGCTGCCTGCTAGCACAGGTTGCTTTGGCTTCGCAGATTCTGTGTTGTGATGGCTTCTTGGGTTTCTTGTTCCCTTTAAACTCAGCAGCTTTATACAAATTTTGACTCATTTCGTTTTATTGTTGCTTTATTTTCCTGCCAAAAAATGGAATTCAAAGTGCTTGCTCCCCTTATATAAATGGGGGGGGGGATTGTACAGTGACCACAGGAGTGTGCTTTCTCCCTGGGACGGGCAGGGCTGGCCCTGGGAGTCCAGTGGGCAGTGCTGGACTCTGTCCCTCTGGTGGCTCCTGGTCCTCCTCCTCTCACTAAAGCACATTTCCGAGTCCCAGACGTGTTTTCCACATAGTGTCAGTTTCTTTTCAAGGTATCTGTAGTTATATTCAAGACCAAGTAAATAAAGCAAACAAGCCCAACAAAGTAGGTCAAAAAGATGAAGAAAGGCACCCTTCAAAACAAAAAAAATGTTATGTGGTGAATCCCACCTGCGTGGCCAGGCGACGTCTCACCCGCTGTGGATGTCAACAGTCTGTTTTCAGCATCCCGGAGACAACGTGTATCAGTTCTCGTTTCTGCACAATCTTTTCAAACTGATTTAAATTGTCGATGAGTAGCATTTCCAAAATCGTGAGTTAGTACTAAAGAATTGACCCTGAAACTCATCTTTCTTTTACTTGGTCGTCCTCTAGCAGGAAGGAGATGGAGCAAGGTCACCCAGCACAATTTGTTTTCTCTAGATGACGTTGCACGGTTTGGGTTACTTTGTTCGTCTCTTTGTTTGCTTGGTTATTTTGTTTTTGCTTGCACGTTTCCTGTTAAGAAGTCCTGGGGTCACAAGAAAAACGAAATCCAGGGGAGATGGTGAAGGAAGCAGCACCCCCACCGGGACCTCGTGCATGGAGAGGAGAATATGCCCCGTTGTCTTCCAAAACCTGGCAGGCTCTTGAGCCACGTTGCTGTGTGCAAATCAGTGCTTAGTCGCAGAGCATTTTCAAAATCTATGAAATGATGTAATTTGCATGGAAATCCTGTGTCCATAGAATAGAGTCAGTGATTGATGTTAGTTATAATTTACTCTTTTTCTAATCTGTTAAAAGCCATTTGTATCCAGCTAAATATTTGTTATCTCTCGTTTTATGATTTTAAATTATCAAAGTTTCTTCTGAAGCTGTTATGATGCACTTACTATTTTATATTTACATTAGTTGGATTATGTAATGCTATTAGGAAATTACTGAAACGATAATAAAAAGCCAGGCTTTTAGTTTGCTTGTATATGGGAAGCTTCAGCAAGGTCATTAGAAATCGATTCACAGCCGCATAATTTTAAATTTGTTTTCAAAGGTCATTATGGATGAATAGGGACAGGAAGGGAGCCAGCACTGCACAAAGGGTATTTCCCCAGCAACAGCACGTGAGAGGGACCTTGTGTGAAATGTGTCACCAGCTAGAGAAGAGGGGCTGTCCAGAGCTGGGGTACCACTCTCATGCTTCCTGAAGTCCTTTTCCATTTTGAGTTTATACGAATGACCTAGGAAAGTCTCTAAGAGTTCAAAAATTTAAAGTCAGCTTTTATCATGAGAAAAATGAGTTCTTAACCAAAAGGAAAACATATTTTCTGGCAATCTTGATTGGTGTGATTAATGAAACATCAACATAAAAGAATTAAATCCCTAGAGAAAATTAATTATTTCATCGTCTAGACCAAATAGTAATAATCACCATCTATTGGTGATCTGAGCAACTGGTTTTCAATACTAGCTCAAAAATGCAGTGTTTCACACATGCACACTTGGTATTCAGTCCCGGGGTACCTTTAAGTATTTTCTGGAATTACTATATTACACGCTTAGGAATTCTGGGCACAGAGACAGTATTATTGGCCATATCTCTGCATTTCTGGCACGTAGCATTCAATTTCTTACCAAACCTCCACGCGAATCGCCCTCCCCTGGCTCTGGGGAGAGGCTGCCGGGCAGTGGGGCGCATGGCCTTGGCCTGGCGTGTGCACGCGCAGCGACCTCTGAGCCGCCCCGTTCCGGGTGCAGATGAGGAGATCAGAACAAATGGTCGCTCCAGTGGCTTCTGAAACATTTTTGATTGCCCATCACCTCTGGCAGGTGGGATTTCCACCCTTGGTTATCTGCTTACAGTGCCTTCTGAGAGTTCAGCTTCTTTTCAGAAAAGCTCTGAATGGCTGTGCTAAGAAACACGTTGCTCAGCCTCAAGAGAGCAACTTTCAACGTGAGAAAATTTATAGTGTACACTATCAGAGCACTCAGAAACTCAGCTACAGAGTCTGTGAAAGAAAGTGCTCTCTCTGGATGAATTTCTCGGGGACACTCCTGAAGGGCATGGTGCAGGGTGGGGCTGTCCTCTGAGAAGGCCACTGTCTCATCACTGTTTATGCTGATTTCTTTGAGCAACACAGCTTATCATGTAACACACGGGAAAATAATTAATCAAGGCTTAAGCTTAGGGATAGGCTTTTCCCTTTCTTTAGGATAAAAACTAATATACTTTATGATTCACGATTATACTGTATAAGGTTGAAAAAAATCACCCAAACCAGAGAGCTTCCTAAGCAAACATGGACTGTCAGAGCCTGTCCCTTGATACCTCCTTTATTTCTCTCTTTAGCAAAATCTCTTCAGATTGTTGATAATCACGTTTGTCTTGGGTAAACATTCATTGTTTTGGCCCCTGTTGTCGCTTTTAGATCCCTCAAGAACAGAAAAGAAAGAGAGCAAGTGTCCAACCCCCGGGTGTGATGGAACCGGCCACGTAACTGGGCTTTACCCACATCACCGCAGTCTGTCCGGATGCCCGCACAAAGATAGGGTCCCTCCAGAAAGTAAGTCCATGTCTCACACTCCCCTGGGCAGTGCAAACACCTGCGACCTCTCTCTGTCATCCCACTCTCCTGCTGTCATCTCCATCGTATGGCTCAGCGCAACCTTATGAGACCAGTCCCCTAGTCACCTGGAAGGGCAGCTTGTCAGTAGCCCCAGAGGACACCTCCTCCCACCCAGGACAGAAGCTCTCGAGCTGCCTCGTCCCTGTAGCAGAGCTCCCGGTGCTGAAGGAGCTCAGGGCTCGCCACCCTGTGACCTCAGGCAGGTGCTTCTCCTCTCTCTCCCCACGAGTCACAGAATGGAGTGTCCCCAGAACATTCTCACAGCACTAAACTGCTGTGGACCCCCGAGGAGAGGGCCCTTGAGCTATCTCTTGCCCAAATACCTGTTCTTCTGTATATTATGTGAATGAATATTTAGATCTGAAGTTTTGTTGCATTTTTCTCAGAAAGTCTGTTTCTCGGCATAGTTGTCCTGAAATTCCCTTTCCACACTATATGATCTTAAATGAGAAGGTTTGATGTGGGTGGGGTTTGATCTTTCACATTCTTTTGAATTAATTAGGTCTGATAATATGGAATAATCTATCAAAACAACGAAATGTTTTTTAGAACTAAAATGATATATAGCTTTTTATAAATTATCCTTCTCTTGGCACATAATTGATGCCAACTACTTAAATACAACTAGAATTGATTACTCGGAGACAAGGCATATTTTCAAAAATGAATAGATGAGTTTGAAATTCTGGTTTTGAGTATAAAGCCCATGAAGGGCTTTCCTCACTCACAGTCTCTAGTGAGGAAAGTGGAATAGCTGGATTTGTGAGAGAGCAGGCTGGCAAGATGACCAGAGGGCGAGTGAGAGGAACTTTGAGGGTCATCCCATCATAATGGGTGCCTTTGGAATAATCGAGAGCTTGTTCTGTTGAAGCAGGTTCTCAGCGGTATTTGAGAATTAGCATGGTCCAGCTGGATCTTTATTTTCAAGTGAAACGCTTTTAGAAAGTACCATGGCCCCAGGCTTTCAAATGTCCACTCAAAGCAGTAAGCCACATTTCTTGTAACTGCCTTGTGAACAAACGTGAAGAGCTGTGGCAACAAGCAAATTGGAGTGTGTGGCGACAATCCCGTGTGTTACATGAACAGGGAGACAGCATGGTGGGCGGCTTCTGTGTCCCAGCACACACATGTGCAGCGCTCAGCCCCGGCACTAACTCGTTCAGTCCCCAGCTGACCTGCAGGGCAGCCCTGGCCCTGCTTTTCAGATGATGAAAATGAGAAGCAGAGACCCCACCACCTTTCTACTTGCAGGGCGCCCTGAGGCCGCACAGTATTTTTTAAGCTAATCTGAACAGGCACTGACTCACCTCACTAAAGGTCGAGCTCAGGGTTAAAGCTGTGTCTGTGAGCTTCCCCTGAAGCCTGGTCGGTCCGAGGACATCCCGGTCAGTCCTGACGGGCCGTGTGGCCCTGACCTGGTGCTCTCTGCGCTTTCTTTTTCTCATCTACAAAATGAGGCAGTAGAAAGAGTCTCTTTATGCACTTTTTATATATTTTTGCCTCCAACGTAGATTATCACGTCCTTTTTATGGATGAGAAATTCTTCTGACTTTTCATAGGAAAATTCTAAGTAGTAACAGGAGCTGTGTTCTGACAAATTGCACTTCACACAGACTTGTGGCTACTGCAAGTCAGGCCTGACCGGCCACGCGTCAGCCCCGAGGCCGTGGGAGCGCAGCCTCACTAGTCTTGACGAAGGCCTCCCAGAGCCTCTGCAGGACGCACCGCCGAGTACTTGCTCACCTGCGACTCCTTATAACACAACAAAAGTGTAATTAGAAAATCAAAGGATTCCATCCATAGAAGGCTGCTTCTTTCTTTCAGTTTTCTGGGCTAGTTCCCCTGGTCGTGGTTTTTTCCACATAAAGTCCTCACAGAGCTCACGGCACAGTCACTGCTAGGATGTGCAGGGCTCACGGTCCTTGCGGGGCTCCCAGCCTGGCCAGGGAGGGGTGAGCACACACCGAGCAGATGTAGCCACCAGATACTCAGCCGACACTTCACTCTCAAGGAGACCAGGGGTCCCCAGAGCTCCCCTGAGGGGCACATTAGCTGAGCTCCACCACAGGGAAGGAGCATTTTCCAACTGCTATTGGGAAAGTCCACCCAGGAGGTCAGGGCATAGAGAAGACAGTGGCTGTGAGAGGGAAAGGCAGATTCAGGAGGTGTTGCAGAAACAGGCCACCACGGATTGTAGCCTCAGGGTATGCAAGGCTGGTGACAGTTCCACATATGGGGACTAAGAAGGAGGGACACATTTCACAGGGAAAACTGGGGCTCGTGTGTTGCCGTTGGAACTGGAGGCCCAGACCTGCTCTGTACTTCAGCAGGCCTGGGGACCTGGGGAGGTCAGGAGCAGAGGTGGCTACCTGGAGACATCCTTCCAGCAGCCTTGGTGGAACAGAAGAGGGGAGATGGCAGTAACTAGAAAAGAAGGGGAACCCGACACAGTTGGCTATAGTGTGTGAAAAGGTGGAGCAGAGGCAGAGAGGCAAGTGGACAGAGGAGAGTGGCACTTCTGAAAAGTCCCATGCAGGAAGTCACTGGCTGAGTTCCCCGGAGAATGGGAGGAGGAGCCGCAGAGGTCACTGGACAGGCTGTTTAACTGCTCATGCCAACACCAGCAGCAGGGTGAGAAGAGGAGAGAGGGCGTGGCCACCTGGCCACCAAGGCTCCAGACTGATTACCTGGAGGGTGGTCTGTGGGTCCCATCTTAGGTGAATCCTGCTTTGACCAGGAGTCCTGTTCAGCAGGGGAGAGGGATGCAGTCGGCTTGAGGCCTCCACACATGCAGACGTGGCAGGTGCCTGCTATCTTCAGGCAAAACTTTCTGTTTGAAAGTTTAGCATAAAAGGAAAAGAAAAGTGTATATTACTGAAAGAGGGAGCCTGTCTGGGAAGCATCTGTGTGCCATAACGGTGGGCGCTAGGAGAACTCCGGGGAATAGAAAGTGAAGGACACAGCAAGTCAGGTCCTCAGGAAGGGGACAAGGACAGGTGAGAATGCAGCTGGGGGCTCCCCTTGAGGAAGGAGGAGCGCTATGAAGACATAGCCACATACGTGATGCAGATTCAGGCTATGGACTCAAACCGTGGTGACACCACGGGGAACTCAGGACACAGTGCCCAGGAAACCATCAACATGCAGTTCAGTAACCAGTTTGGGCAGGCACCATCCATGCTCTCAGGGCCTTAGGTGACCTGCACAGGCAGGGGCCAAGGTGCATGTTGACTGTGACCCTCTCTCTCCCCGAGAATCCAGAATAGTGGTATGTCATTAGGGCCAGAAAAGAAGGGCTGTAGTGTAGGGTCCGGCCTCCCCCCTACTGGCCAGCAGCCTCCTACACCATGGGAAGAGTGTCCAAGCTGCCATCCCACCTGTAATCTCACATGGAGAAAATGCATGGTACTGGGGCATTCTATTTAAGAGTTTTTAAAAGTCCTTAATTCCTAGAGGGAAAGTCATTATTTCATGCGTTTTATCTAAAAATAAGGTTTGGGGTTTTCTATTCACCCACACCCATCACATGTTCATACTACTGTGTGTTTCTGGAGCGTAGTTAATTTAAACTTACTGATCTCTGTGCTAATCGATATTTAGTGTTTATGTACGGGAGGAGTCAGGGAGGGCCTTGCTCCTCTGTCCCCCTAGAAAGATGTAGTTGCTGCGTCCTCAGGCCTCCAGGGTTCCGAGTCTGGTGCCCCTGCTTTGCATGCTGGTTAGAGCAGGATGGAGCCTCCAGCTGCCCCTGAAGGTCTCCTGATCACGTCGCAGGGCTGTCGTGAGCCCCCCCCCCCGCCTGTGTTACAGTGATGTGTGTTCGTGTCTCCTGCTACCTCTGTGTTAACGCTGGGCTGTTTTCTTTGCCTCTCCTTGTCAAGTCCTTGCTATGCACGAAAGTGTTCTCAAGTGCCCCACTCCGGGCTGCACGGGGCGAGGGCATGTGAACAGCAACAGGAACTCACACAGGAGGTAAGCCATACCCTGCTGCCCTCAGGCCCAGCTACTGCCCCCCTGCCCTCCACCCTCCTCTCCCACCCAGAGTGCGCCCTGCAGAGGCAGGTGCCTGGACACCCTTCCTTTCACTCTGGGTGCTTTTGCTACCTCAGCTACTGTCATGATAAGGTATCATGCTGGGTATAATGTCCAAGATGGGCCACAGCCATGTCCCATGACTAGAAGGTGTGTGGCAAAGTCTGTCTTAGCCTCTGGGGTGAAGGAGGGACTGTCCTGTCCCTAACGTGGTCATCTATATTACACATGTCTTCAGTAGGCTGCCCTTGAAATTCTGCTGAAAACACAGGTCGCCCATCTGAACATCTGCAAAATACAGAGCCCCAAAGTTGGGGGCATTTGGGATGAGAGTGTGCCAGATAAATAGACCTTTTTTGGACTGTCACTATAAATAAGTATACGCAAAACCATACTTTTGTTTGTGACAAATTCTAGTTCTTTTCCTGTTCAAACTTTATAAGAAAGAAATATTAAATTGTCCATAATATTCAGTTCACATCGTGTATTTTTTTTTTTTCAGCAGCAGAAATGTGGTTCTGTTAAAGTTTTAAAATTTGTCTTGCATTTGGGAGGCTCAGCTTCACAAGCTCCTTTCAGATTTTATCTAGAGGGAGGAATGTGTTACAAATTTCACTGTAATTTTTGCTTGAAACCCTGTATCCTTGAGAGATTTTCTGGTTTTAGTGATAAATAGGTGGGTACGGTTCGTGCCAAGCTGTTTGCTGTGGTGGCGACAGCATTACCTCCTTCAGCACACTGTAGCCCAGCCCGTATTTCTGAGCATGGTGCAGATGTGGCCGAGCGTGTGCACACGTACAGACACACATGGACACACAGAGCAGGCGCACGAGTTCAGGAAGAGTAAGTCACAACACAACAAGCCTGTCTGTGTCTCCTCCAGACAAGATGAGCTATTTAGCCCCAGAAAATATCCCACTGTTTCCTAGAGACCTTCTGCCTTCCTCTCTGCTCTCGTCCCTTCTTATGGGACTGGGGCTGAGGCTGGTCAGAGCCTGGGTCAGTGGCATTCTCAGTGTCAGCTACAGCTCCATCCTCTGCTGCCAGCCAGGTAGTTGCCATTTCTTGGGCTTTAAAACTCTTACCCAGCTGTTAATTTATCCTCTCCAGAAACGGTGACGATCCCAGAATGGAATCCATGCCTAAAATTTTAGCCAGCTTGTTCTCTCCCTCTCTCTCCCAGGGGTTGGAGAGGACGAGTGCACTCCACATGCAGGTGCTGGGTGCTGCCAGCCTTGTCTGCTGGAAGCCAAGACCAGAACTCACAGGCTGGAGGCACAGCCGTTTCTCCCTCCCCCATCTCTCCCTCTCAGGACTGCCCAGGGCAGGTTTGGGAAGCTCCTCCCTCTGCAGTTCCGCCCACTCCAAGGTCTTCCCATGCTCAAGGAGGGTCAGTGTGTATAGCTATTTGCGACCAGACCACTAACCCCTTTCTGTAATTGTAGCCTGTCTGGATGTCCTATCGCTGCAGCAGAGAAGTTGGCAAAGGCCCAAGAAAAACACCAGAGCTGTGATGTGTCCAAGTCTAACCAGGCCTCGGACCGAGTCCTAAGGTACCACCCAAAAGCATGTCATTTCATGAGACTCATCTGCAGACGTGCCTCTGGGCTCTGGGGACACCCACAGGGCGGATGTCCTCACGTAGCAGCAGGAATGAGGGGCTATCCAGGGGTCTAAACCTGCTCCCAGCACCAGGCTGTGGCCAGGCTGTTCAGTGGCCAGGACCACTTCACCCATCCGGGCCCTGGTGACCCATTGTGACTATTTAAGTAGAAAACTGGAGGAAACTATTTCTGGTTTTCTTTCTGGCACTGCTATTTCAGGATTCTATGGATCCTGGGTAAAAAGGAAGCTTTGAACATTGGTGAGGTACACAAGGTGCTTTTATCTTCATTTGGAGGAGAGGGCAAGCGCCAGCCCACAGGGACAAGGACGATCCCTCCCCAAATCCCGGGAATTCTCCTCTCCCTGTACCCTCAAACGCCTTTCAGTTTGGGGGGGACACTTGTCAGGGTCTGTGCCGGAGGAGGAAGAGGCCCCACGCCCGTAACCCTCCAGACCCTGGGCAAGTGAAAACGGTGACCGTCCTCATGTAGTCTGCCTTTTCACTCAGTGTCATACCAGAGACACGCGTCCCCACCCTGCACGATGACTCTGTCATCTCGGTGGCTACACACGCCCCGCTTTGTGGATGGGGCTCTAGCTCGGAGGCATTGCTTTGGGTTGTTTTCAACTTTGACAAAGAAGAAGAGAGCAAGGACGCATTCTGTCATACACAGAGGGCACCAGAAACAGGAATGCACATTTTAAGAAAGGAAAAATCTGTATTAAATGTAATACTCAGTATACGCTGGTAACAAAAGATGAGGACAAAAGAGTCGCGCTGCGCACCTCTTGTAATTACAGAGGTCAAATGTCACTTGAGTCTTACAGTTTAACACGGGTTTTCCCTTTCCTAAAATGTGTATGCATTTTTGATACCCTCTGTATATAGCATTTTTCTTCTGCTAAATTATGTCTCTGGGATAAATCGTTTGGAGAAAATCACTAGGCAGGTGATGCGGATATCTTTTTGGTCCTCGCGTATTATTTGAAAGTTTTCTTAAAGGGTTTGACCATAGTGAGTAATCTTCCTGTCTTCTTTAATAGGAAAGTTTAAAATATCCATACAAAATTAGAAATATTTTTAAGCAAACCAAGGCAAAAAAAATTCATGATTCTATCATTTAGCAATAATTCCTCAGTAAATTTTGACATATATATTTCAAGAGATTTCTACATGTGAGTGTTATCAATCAAAAGCCCCTGTCAGGCCACCTGTCTCCCAGTTCCCCTTCAGTGTGCCCCTCCCAACCTCCCCATGATGACACTGAACACTCAGCAAGCTGGAGGACAGACCCCACCCCTGTCAGCTACTGGAGAATGTGTGCACTCATACATACACATAAAAGTAAACCCTCAGGCCGTGTGAGTCACGAAGAGATGGTTATTAATCAAAGAAAATTTTGAAAAATACTAGGGAGACATTGTTGTTGAGAGCTTGTATTAATTTTCCTCTGCCTGCCTGGCCAGACCCTAAAAAGATGGAAAGGACCCTGTGTGCCCTTGTTGCGGTCCCCAGGTGCCTGCACTGCTCGCCAAGGGCAGCTCTGCTTCCCATGATCAGTGGGGAGCCTGCATTTCAGGGACATTGGCAGCAGGGGACCACCCAGGCATGTGCATAACTGCAACTCTCACCTTGTACAGACACAAGCCGCCCTCTGACCCCGCTCAGGCCTAACAACCCCGCCCTCTGTGCTGTGTCTAGTTTCATGAGCCAGGATCCCTTCTTTGGGCTGGCACGCTGAAAAGACACATCGAATGCCACCCAGATAGAAGCCAGCGGCCAGTCCTCACATACGTGCCTCTGGCTGGAGAGAGCCAGGGTGCCTTCTTAACAAAAGAAAAGAGACCACACTCCCACTGCTGAGCAGGGTGCTCGGGACAAGACAGGTGATGGAGACTGGCTGGCCCTGGAGCTTCTGGCTCTCGGCAATGGCGCTTGATCATGGGGCCAGTGCATGAGCCCAACTCCTCAGGCTCAGCAGGTGCTCAACCCTGGAGGGCCTGTGTGTGTGCCAGGCATGTGCACCTGCCCCTCTGCTGTATCCCCAGTGTCTTCTCACAGGGGCTCCTGAGATGGGATAAGCCAAAACACAGGAAGGAAGCAAAGAGGAGATAATAAACCTACAATCATTTAGTTAGGTTTGAAAAGTCGTCTCTAAGCAAACTGTCCCACAAGAGGCTGAGATTTAAGGGCTGGAGGCCTGTAACGTGGCTCCAGTGACTGGGCTTGCCGCTTCCTGTCACTGGGCACCTGCTGGGCGCAGTGCTCCTCGGCTGCAGCCCCACCCTGCCCAGACCCCGGTCCTGCTTCCTGGCCCCGCCACGCTGTCTGGAAGGTGTTACTGGCTTTCTTGCCTCTGCACCTTCAGACTCGGCAGTTCCTTCCCTGGAACGCTTCCCACTCCATCCTGAGTCGCACCCTTACACTTTTACCTACTCTGCCTTCTCCATTAAAACTTAATCGAATCCCAGGACTGAAGTGACCGCTCTTCTCTAGAATTCTCACAGCACTTAAAATATGGTCATAGCCCACGTGGTCCTTTAAAGGAAAACCAAAGTCGTTTTTATTCACATACCTTCATATTGCCTGGTCAAATGCTCAAAAGTAGTAGACAGTGAATCAACTGTTACAGTATTTTTGTTACTTGACAAGCAATAAATAAGCTAAATTAATGAAATTTAAATAAATGTGTTAGTGATCTGGTAAATAAATTGAATACTCAAACATTACTATGATGTTCCTTATAAAAGTGGCACAAATTTGTTATTAAGAGATATAAAAACTCACTTTCTTTTTTTTTTAAGTCCAATTATCAAAACTTTGTAACTGCCCAAAAACCAATGTAAAATTTTTGAAATAATGACAACGAAATAGATTACGTCCATATTAAGTCAAAATTTATAATAGCAAAATAAAATCTAAAAGTTAGAAAACAAATAATGTGATATTTGTGAACTTCAATGTCATGAAACTATTAAGAACTATTTTTAAAGCCTGTGCAACCAAGAGGAAAATTATTAACATGTAAAATGAATCATAAAATATGTAAAAGTATAAGGTTCTAACTATTTAAATAAATATAAGATACATTAAATTGACAAAACAAAAAACCTAAGTAGTTACTGTCTCTGGAAGAATTGTAGGTGATTTTTTAAATATAGTTGCTGTATCTTAAATATTTTTTAATGAATCACATAAAAGAATAAAATTTTTCTTCCTGAGAGGAGTATAGACGATTTTTGTGTACCACTATGCACAATGTTGAGAGAAGATTCAGTAAAAAATATGTTTATTCAAACGCACAAACAACACTTGTGGAAAACAAGTTAGGAAATAGAAAGTACAAAACCTCCGGGATTAGGAGAGGGTGTCCCCTGAGCGCTGTTGTGAGCTGGACCCACTGCACATCTGTGCCCGCCAGTGTTAAAATACAATTTCATTCCTCTGCTGAGGCCTCACCCTTGTGCTTGAGGTCCTGGCAATATTTGCACATCTGATACCAATAATCAAAAACTGAGATCTTACTTAAACATTATCATCCTTCATAAATTGTGACCCTAATACTAATAAATACATGAGTTTCCTGCCTTTTGTTTTTTCCTACTAAAACTTCCCTCTTCTTTGGGTCTTTATTTTCATACATTTTACATCATTTAGAAACATGAAGAATCATCAGGGAATTCTTGACCCTTAAAATCCAGTATTTTGTGATGGTGTGCAAAAACTATGCTTATGTGAAAATGTCTGTAAGTGATTTTTATGAATACTTTATCTTGAGAAAATGCGAAGGAGGCTAAATTATACTATAGAATTTCACGACTAAGTCTGCACCAGTATCTATCCTACAAAATGCCCTCCAGAGAGGTCCAGGCCACAGAGCCGGGTGACACTGAGGAGGGCAGAGAGGGCCAGAGGTGCTCAGTTGGGCACAGCAGGAGGCCCCTCATGGCTGAGTCAGAGAAAACACCAATGTAGACACTGGTCACATCAAAATAAAGCCCTAAATTAGTAAACAGTGTTTTACTAAGATGGTAAGATGAGCAGAGTTGGTGAGAGACCTCTGTATGGAAGATAAACTTCTCTGTGACTCTAAAATTATTTCACATTAAAAGTCTAAAAACTCACTTAGGAGACAGACAGATGGATGCATGGACACACACACCAGAAAAAAAGTAAGCTAGGCATAGTGGTTCACACCTGTTACTCTAGCACTTTGGGAGGCAGAGGTGGGAGGATCACTTGAGCCCAACAGTGTGAGACCAGCTTGCGCAACGTAATAGTGAGACTCTGTCTCTACAAAAAATAGAAAAATTAGCCATGGTACGGGGATACTGGTATTTTCAGCTACTTGTGAGGCTGAAATAGGTGGATCACTTGAGCCCAAGAGGTCAAGGTTGCAGTGAGCTGTGATTGTGCCATGGCACTCTGGACAACAAAGCAAGACCCCGTCTCTTAAAAAATAAAAACAAAAGACGTATATACCAATATTTGACAAAATATATTACATCCTCTTCTGTCTTTCTGTTGCCCAGATAGATAAATGTTGATGTAATTCTGTCTCAGTCTGTGTACCTCAGAGTATATCTTTATTTCTTCTCATTTTAAGGAGTAATCTCTTCTTAGCTCACGTCATTTGTAATCTACCCCGCTTTATAGTTACTACAAGGAAAATGCAGGAACGTGAGATTCCTCCCCATCCTCATAGTTCATCTCTTCATCATACCTAACACACCTCTTAACAGAAAGAAGAAAAAGATATAAATACATTACTTCTTGGACTCTTTTATTGCCAAAGTTGACTTTCAGTCAGATAGCCTATTTGGTGATAAGTAACTGAAACGCACTTTATCCTTCCTCAGGAAAGTAAAACTGTGATCTTGGTGAAAGTTTTCCCTAACGTATCTAAGCGAGACGTTCTGATGTGGTGTGCAGCATGTCATACACAAAGCCACAACACAGCAAGCTGTGGTCTGTCCTCTCCTTTCCTTCCAGGCCAATGTGCTTTGTCAAGCAGCTGGAGATCCCTCAGTATGGCTACAGAAACAATGTCCCCACGACCACGCCGCGTTCCAACCTGGCCAAGGAGCTCGAGAAGTATTCCAAGACCTCGTTTGAATACAACAGCTACGACAGCCATACTTATGGCAAGCGAGCCATAGCTCCCAAGGTGCAAACCAGGGATATGTCCCCCAAAGGATATGACGATGGTAGGAGGTGCACACTCTTATACATGAGAGACACGTTGCCATTGCTGATGTTGTTATTGTGTATATTGATGTCCTACAAGTCAGTCTAGCCCCCATGGTCACTTGAGGGGTAGCCAAAGAACAAGATGCTCACAGTGCGGCCGGGAGCCGAGCAGCCCCGGTCTGTGCAGGTGTTGGTGAACAAACCCTGTGGGTAGGAGTGAGAGGACAGCCCTGGGTGCCTTCCAGCTGCATGTGGAATGTGGGGGAGAAGCCATGGCCTCTCTGTGCTTCACGGCCTTGCTGGGACTGTCTCTTAGACAGATCTGTCTCTTCTCTTAGACAGATGGCCCTAAGGCAGGCAATACTGGGAGGTCGCAGTGCAACCTCTGAGCTCCGGGCAGTGTTGAGAAGCTCTGCACTTACGTCCTTAGTGCTCTCAGCCGTGATGCTCATGAAAATCATCTGGGGAGATTACGTTTTAACTCTGACCCTAGGCTGTGTCCCCAGACCAATTGAATCAGAATCGGGGAGTTCTCTGGGCAGTGTGTTATTGTAGAGCTCACCTGTGGTGCAGGCGTGCAGCTCTGGCAGCAGCCCCACGTGCTCAGCTCTCCACAGCAGTGTGAGGACCTCCCATCTGTTCTCTAAGGGGGACGCTGGAGCGGGAGGGAGGGGCAGGCCAGGCAGTGCCACCGCCCACTGTGACCAGGCTGTACTACTCCCTGCACTACGGCCACGTGGTGTCTGCCAACAAGTAGAACTGACGGAGGTTTTGCACCTGCATGTTGGGAGGAGGGAGGTGCAGATGCCCCATGCTGACCTGAGCCCTGCTGGCGGGGTGGGCTCACCACCAGTTCACTGCAGAGCTGGTTTGGCAAGTAGTTTACCACGACAGGGAGGATGTGCTGCTCTAGTTTTACTTACTTTTCTAACCATGTATGTATTTGTATTTGTATATACAAATTCTTGTATATACAGATGTAGTGCCAAATTTATCCATTGGGTCTAGGTGAGACATGTTCAGATGACTTACAAGTTTTGTCATGGTGCTCTTTGGCATAGAGAAAAAGATAGGCTTTTAAAGATATCTGAGCTCATCTTTGAATAAGATACTTAGTTAACATCACAGTACACACACAATATTTAACAGACTGCTTGGGAAGCTCAGATATCCGTCTTTTATACTGCAGTGGGAGGTGCTGCTCTTTCTGAGCTGTGTTATTTGTTTCCTTAATAATAATTCATTTGGAAAGTGCCTGAAATTTAATATTTATTTGATGTATCGTATATTGGTTACTCTTGTATATCAACTCTGAATATTCAGAAACAGACAGAAGTGGAAATAGGGATGGCTGCAGGGTACAACAGAAATCATTTGAGTCTTTTTTGTTTATTTTGTAAGAATTACTTGAAATTTCAGGTTTTGTCGTGATTTTGTTTGTTCAATTGCAAATGAAGGATCAAAAGAAGTTTCCAGAATGGCAGGTTCCATCCATGCTGTTGCCAGAGCATTGGTGCTTCACCACGGCCACTCTCTCTCCTCCGTTAGATATTTGCTTTTGCTCTGGTTCTGTGTGGCCGTGTGGTTGCGGCTGGACCCAGCCTAGAGTGAAGGGGAGAGATGGGCTCCCCTGGCCAGAATCTAATCTGCTGGTCTGTTCTCATTATCCCTGTGCACAACCTTCCCAGGCATCAGTCCTCAGGAATGAGTAGGATGGAGTATCTGCCACGCTGGCCTCACGGGGCTATCATGAAGGTCAGCTGGGATGAGGTGTGCACAGGGACATGGGCACACATTGCCAGCTGGGGGGTGAACAATGTGTGTTAGTTGTTAGCATTAATTGCTGTGTGTCCAGCAAGAGACCTGGGCCAAGGATTCAGGCTGAGCAGGCAGGGTGAGACCTCCATGTCAGGTCTTTGGGAAGCCCAGAAAGGGGAAACTCAGCCCTCTGCCCCGAGCTGCTGTGGAGAGAAGTGGGCACCTGCTTCTGTTCCACTCAATCCTTCTGGGCATTGTAGATAAGTTCTGCGCCGTGCCCACCAGGATGAGACAGGCTGGGTCAGGGCTGTCAGTGGGATGAGTTGAAGCCCCCCACCCCCATACTGGGCTCCACGTGCAGACACAGGGGACGGCCACTGTTGTCTGCACTCACCTCCAGGTATCCTGGCCGAGACACACAGCAGGTGCACAGAGAGTTCAGTCCTTGCTATGTTAGAAAGGCCGGGAAATGAGCCTGTGGTGGAGGAGAAAAGTGTCATTCTCGGAAATAGGGGTGAGGCCATGGAGACGCAGAAGGGGCCAGCCATGCTGTGTCATCCCTCAGGTCCCACCGGCTGTGATCAAAGACACCAGCACCTTCCAGACGCGGCAGGCCGGATGCCAGCTGTCCACCCGTCTGTCCCTGTCCATCTGTCTGTCTCTCTTCCTGTCTGCCCACCAATCTATTCACTCCCGTGGGACAATAAGTTTAGAAAAAGATAACAAATAAATACAAGATAGTGAAACACGTCCTAATGCAAGGAGTCCACTCTGCCGGCAGGAATTGGCAGGGGCCTTACCAAGGAGGCAGATTTTAAACTGTATGGTGAAGCAGGAGTGGGAATAATGTGGATGCAGGAAGTTCCCGGGCCTGTGAGAACAGCCAGCAGCCCCGCGCCCCCACCCAGCTCCCGGCTGCTTCCCCTGCCCCACACCTCCAAACCTGTTTTGCTGTTTTGTATACAGAGAGAACAGTGGCTTATGCACTGGTTAATAGGTAGAAGAAAAACAAAAGGAGAATATTTGGTGACATATCAAACTCTGAAATTCACACGTCCAGGTATATGTAAAATGCCACTGGCCACACTGTGTCCTCACAGGATGGGGCCCCCCACACCCGAGGTGGTTACTCTGGAATCCTTCCCAGGAACTGCTACACCCAGGGCTGAAACACGTGTGTCTGCACTGCACCCAGCCCGTGTGCCCACCCTGCACCCAGCCCGTGTGCCCACCCTTCATGCCACACACCCTGCCATACTCCGAGCCCGCAGCAGGGCTGTCTGGAGTCTGCTTTGCTTACTTCCAACTTCCAAGTTCTCTGGGGCTTTGACCTTTGGGTCACCTTGGACATTCCACTTTTGCACCCTGGAAAGCCACCATGCTTCCTGTCCCCTGCACTCTGCCCTCTGGGGCCCCGTTCTTCCTGCCACCTGGCAGACCACCCCAGCCCTCAACCCTACAGAGCACCCCCTTGGGACATTCTGCCTTGGTGGAAGCACCCTGAGGCCCCAGAACTGGGCTGGGGGAACTGTGGGCGTGGCTGGCAGGCAGGTGGTGCTTGGGAAGGGATTATCGTCTGACCAGTGGCCTCGCAGTGACCATCTAACAGGAGAAGTGATCTTTCTCCTATCTGTGGCCACACACTGCTGATTGCGCTTGGCAAGGCCTTGGGCCCAGCGCTGCAGACTGGCTATTGGCTGCAGGTGGGATGGGCCTGCGGTGACCAGCCCCCCCCAGGAGCAGTCGTCCCTCTGGATTACACCCTTTGTTATTAGGTTTCTTAGAGATTCTGTATTTTTTATCTGATCCATAAGGAAGTGACATTTCTAGGAGAATAAGATACTCGCAGGTAGTGAGAGTCTCACGAGCAGAGCAGTAAAGGGCCTCATGGGGTTGTTCTTTGGGGTTTGATTTGTCACCATTTCAGTTCACATACATAGCTATGTCCCGTGCACCCTTCCCTCCTCCCTCAGTGAGGACACAGACACCTGAGGGGAGCGTCCAGGGGCTCAAGGCCCAGCTGCTGCTCCTGTCCCAGAGGTGACTGTGCTGCAGTCTCAGAGCACTGGTCTCCCATCACACGAGGTGGTCGGGCCTGGGAGCACTGACACACCCGAGCTGCTAAGTGATGGAGGAACTATTTGACTGAAAATAGCTTTGTTTGCCAAAAGAAAAAGAGAGTGCATTTTGTGTCTGTGAAACTGCTCTCATCTGACAAGGTGGGGGGAGCAGGACCCCTGACTCCAGGGGCCACAGCAGCGTGGGGCCAGTGCAGTGACCACAGCAAGGCTGGATGTGGCCCCAGTGACACTAACATTAGCAGCTTCATTGACATTTCACAAATAAGAGATAATTATTAGGACTACAGACTTCTTTGCCTGAGTAATGTATAGGCTCACTTATTTTGATTTTGATTAAAAGAAAAATGATTGTTTACATTTTTAGAAGAGTAGATATCCTAGTTGTTCGTTTGCATACCGTGAGTTGACAGGGTATCAGGAGATCATTGAAGGTTCAGGCACGAACTTAGACTCTGGTCCATCTTCGAGCCACTCACCCCACCGCACTCAGAGCCCTCACTCAGCAGGGCTGTCCAGGCTGCACGTTGGCTTCACGCAAGGTAGCACCTGACAGTTAAGCCTTTGGGGGAGCAGGTGCATCATCACATCCACATTTTAGAATTTCAAGAAATTTAAAGTGATTCACATAAGAGATAGAAATGCAAAGATTCACTGTAGTTAAAGATTCGTATAAGCAAAGTATTGTCAGGCAGAGGCAGCCTGTTTAGCAGAGGGGTTCCTGGGCTCGCCCAGGTGAGCTGCCCCTGGCTGCAGAGAGGCCCCTCTCACCTTCCTCTTGACTGTAGCAGCCTCAGCTTGCACATCTTGTGAAACAGGCATGGAGCAGCACTCCGCGGGGAGGTGGAGGGCATGGTGCAGTCTCATTAGAGACCCTGGAGAGCTCAGCGCAAAGGGCGTCCCTTCAGGGAGCACCTAACCTCAGAAAGCATGGATAGCTTGCCAAGTCTCTGGGCCCACCCACCTGCTGAATGCCCAGTGCTGGCCTTGGTTTGCTGCAAACACTCATGTAGTTCCTTTGACTTTTCTTTTAGAAACTGAAATCTGTTCATTTCAAAACAAAACTATTATTTCTTTTATATGGACCACTTTTGTTCTTCTGAGCCAGTGACCAGCCCTCACCAGTAAGAAAGGAAGGTCCCTAAAATAAGTATTCATTTCTCACACAATTTTTACCCTCCTATTTTTTTCTAACAAAATTGCAAATGATGTAAAATTACAACTTTAGTCTACATCAGATGACAAGTAGTTACTCAGTGTGGCCACGGCGCCCGGTCCCTGCTGGCCCCACAGCCCATGATGGACCCTCTCACAGGCCCTGACATGGTCTGTGCTGAGCCCATGGCCGCTGCCCCCCCCCCCACGTGTGCTGCCATTTAGATTAAGAACCTCGCCCAGTGCACGTGCTGAGGGACACTCGTCTGGGACAGCTGTGCCCCACCAGGTGTGGGGATTATTCTGAGTGGCTCTGCCATCTCAGGTCGGCATCACAGAAGTAATATTATCTGCTGTTTACTGTCTCACTTCACGGGTTTTGTGTGGGGAATTTGAACCTCTGGTCCATGCAAGGAAAGTGAGGGATAAACAGGTCACTTGTGGTGTGTGTGGCGTGTCTCCCGGCTGCTGGCGGGGTGGGGCTGGGCCTTGTCTGGGCTCCCGTTGGTTGTGCACTCAGAATGTGGCCTGCAATGTCCTCTTCACAGAGCCCTGGGAACACGTCTGCAGGCCACAGCTGACACCATCAACAGTGACTGCTTTCTCTTCTCCTTTTGTATCTAAATCTGGTGCTTTAGGATAATTTCCTCATAGGGCTCTTAGTGCCCCTGTTGCCTGTGAGGCTTCTTGTTTAGTTTTTCCTCTTCCTTTTTGGATGTCAAGCCCCAGGTACAGAGCTACTAACAATGGTGCTGAAGGTACCCGGTAGGGCAGTGCCTCCTGCAGACCCCCCACCAGACACAGCAGTGCTTCTATCAGAGGCCCCAGGGAGCTTTGCCGGCCCTCGCCAGGCCCAAAGCACAGGCTCGGCTTGTCCTCAGCCTGGCAGCGAGTGTTCCAGGGTGGACTCATGCTGCTCGCAGGTACTCAGGTGAGCTTGCCCTGGAACGGAGGCCTTTAATGAAAGGAGGGACTGTGGCCCTAGGGGAGGAGTGTCTTTGGAGTGTCCTGCACCCTCCAGGTGCACCTGATTCCCCACTTCACAGAAGCAGGCTGAAGTGTCTGCCCTGCAGGGCAAACACCAGGACACGTTAGCAGTTAGTAAAATTGAGCCTGTCCTAGGGAATTGCAGACTCAGCTTTTTCTCAAACTTGTGCTGAAGGAGATTTCTAAATGGCTGTAAAGAATGACTCTGCTCCTGAGGGCCTACCTGGCTGTTAGTGAGTAAAGACTCCAGAAAGGGACTGTTAGCTGAGCACCCAGAATTCCCTAAACACAGCTATTCCCTGAAGAAGCAGCTATGAATGGAAAACGGGGGGGGGGGTCCCCAACATGCAGCAGGTGCCAGCGTGTCAGGCTGAGGGGTCTGACATTAGTCCAGGCTTATGGTTTCCACAGGTGTGAACAAATTTCTCTTTTCTCTCCTGTGTCCTGGAGCAGAATTACGAGGACCTCAGAATAAAGGTGTTTGGGTCACAGCATCAGTTGCACACCCAGCCCAAGCACGTGGTCCCCACAGGCCCTGCAAGAGGTCTGGGTCCCTGCAGGCTGGAGGGAGCAGCCTGTCTCCCCCAGATGAGTGATTTGTGGATGAATCACAGAGGGTGGGGCCTGGACCCAGCCAGTCACCCGCCTGTCAGAGCCAGCGCCCCGTGAACTCTGTGCCAGGGTCCGCCCCGTCCTCTGCTCATTCTAACATATACAATGCTGAGGAAAAGGTGGGAGGGGGAGGGGAGGAAAAGAAGCCTGAGGCTTGGTTTTTTTTCCTTGCGAGGAAGTACGGGCACGCAAGTGGCCTCGGTGGGGGCTGCACCCTGAGTCCCCGCCCTGTCTCCCCAGCAAAGCGGTACTGCAAAAACGCAAGCCCCAGCAGCAGCACCACCAGCAGCTACGCGCCCAGCAGCAGCAGCAACCTGAGCTGCGGCGGCGGCAGCAGCGCCAGCAGCACCTGCAGCAAGAGCAGCTTCGACTACACGCACGACGTGGAGGCGGCCCACATGGCGGCCACCGCCATCCTCAACCTGTCCACGCGCTGCCGTGAGATGCCGCAGAACCTGTCGACCAAGCCACAGGACCTGTGCGCCCCGCGGGTACGCGCTGCAGGACGTGGCCGGCACAGTCGTGCGGAGGGGCTGCTGTCTGAGCAGGGAGCGGTGCCCCTAGGTTAACGCGTGCAGGGCCCTTCCTGGGGGAGCAGGGTCCCTTCTGATTTCACTGTAGAATGGCACTGCATGGAGGGCAGAGCAAAAGAGCCCCGTGCCTCGGGCTGCCGCAGAGGACTGTCCCTGCCAAACACCCCACACTCCTGACGAGCGGCACAGGCACAGCCAGCGCCGTTAGTTTAAAACCCCACAGGTGCCACCATGGCATCCGCAGTGTGCGTGGAGATCGTCTGTGCTTTATTTTCTTATCAATCGTCTTAATTCTCGGTAAGCAAAAGCAAGTTGCCTCACCAAGGTCAGGCCTGTTCACCTTCCCCTATATACAAAGGGCCATCCTGCAGCTGACACTGCCCGGCCATGCCCCTGAGCTCACAAACTGACAGTAGTTGTTATAAATAATTGTAATTCGTAAGAATGGAGGAAGGTCAGTAATCTTATGTTTTGCAAATGCTTTTACTTCTACTGGTACTTTTATTCCTAGATATTGGAGAAGAGTCAGGGGCAGGTAGTTGGCGTTTTGATCAGGGCTGCTAAAATGTGGGCCAGCAGGGAAGAGAGACTTAAATAAAAGAAACCCCTTCCAAATTTTTTCCACTCAAAATGACAGTAAGACTGAGAGAATAAATCCACCGTTCTGAAGCCTAAATTAGTGTCAAAGCTTCAACTCAGGGGCACACTTTGACAAGGAGAGTTGAGGCAGAATGACGTGGTATGATGTATCCAGGTGGCAGTGGCAAGGGCAGGTGCCCTCCTAACATCTCCCCCCGCTGCCTGGGGAGCAGGGCAGGCGCCCTCATAGCATCTCCCCCC